AACCAGGCCTGGTTGCATGAGAATTCTTTGGGATTGGGGCGTGGACATTGTGGACTTGACACCCAGCCTGCGGGGCAGCCCATCACTGGTGCCTGGATGCTGGCTGGATGCTGATTCCAGCGCTCTAGTCCCCTCGGTCACCCTCAGAGCTGCTGACCTGCTCGGTGGAGAAGTCGGCCCGGGAGGGATTCCTGCGCCGAGAGGAGGGAGCAAAGCGTATCAGACTGAAAACCAGGCCTCTTGGAGAGGCTTGAGCCTCTGCAGACTCCTCTGCTTGTGCAATGGGCTTTCCCAGGGCCAGCTGCAGGCACTGATCACCAGGGATCAGTCTGAGGGGTCTGAGTGGGAGGGAGGGGCTGCTGCTATAAGGGCCTGCCGGGTGCCGCTTTTGGCTGTGGGATTTGCAGATGGAGCTTTGCTCTGCCTGGATCTCCCTGTGATTGAGCACAAGGTAGTGGACGATGCCCTTTGTATGCTGTGCCTTCCAGCCCTTTGGGCCTCGAGTTTCTGCAGACTTTTCTGGCTGCAGAGCTGATTCTGTGAGCTGGCAGGAGGGCAGGCCCTAGACCTCTGAAGAAGAAGAAGGGGTTAATGTGGGTTGGGGAGATGGAGGGTGCTTCTCTGCTTAGGCCTCCTGAACAAACGCTTCTCAGAAAGGACTGTGTTGTGTGTGGCAGTAAGATCTTATTTAGTGCAACACCACCTTGAGCGTTGACATTCTCTGTACATTTGGGGTGGGTTTTTGAAATATTAGAAATTAGCTGTGAACTAATCCTTCCTGTCCCTATCCCAAGTCTCAAAGAGGCAGGTGCAAATTTTGACTGTGCCTTCTCTCCTGGCTCAATTGCCACCTGAGCTTGCTACCAACCTACCTGTCTGACCACCTCAGGTTGTTCCTCCCTTGATTCTGCTGACTTGTCTTAGTAGGCCAAGTGCCTGGCCTCCTTGAGTCTCCATGTGTTTTGGAGCCCATTGCTTGTCGGGTCTTCCCTGCCCCCTGCCTTCCCTCCCTCGGTTTGGTCCCGCCGTTGACGTTCTCGCTTTCGCTTGCTGCCAACGTATCTGTCGGATCCTGCCAGCGCGCTGCCTACCCGCCGGTCCAACCTTGTCAGTGCCTGCCTCCCTTGCTCTTGGCGTGGGCCCCGCAGGGCGTTGACTGTCTGACCTTGCCACTCTGTCCCTTGGTGGTGCTGCCTGTCTTAGGCCTTTCTTCCTGTCCTTGACTCAGCTGCCACTGTCCTAATGCCCTCAGTCCCTGAACTTGCCAGAGACTTCTCCTGATTCCACCACCTTCTCAGCGATGCCTTACTTGCGCCTTCCATCCCTGAAAATGAAGCCAGAAGTGCGCAGATGCCTAAGCCTTTTTGGGAGAAGTGGTGTCCAATGGCTGCCATGCTTCCTGAAATTGTACGAAGTTTCAAGTTCAAATCAGTTCTTGTTTCCACTGATTCTGTGTTTGCAAAGCAACGTATAGGCCAGTTTTGAACCAGTGAGAGTCCTTGGTCTCCCAGTGCCGCTGGTGTAGAATGAATAGATTGGTGTGTTGTAAGAGAACTGTTAAAACCTGGCTTTTCCAGAACTTCCTGGGTGCAGGTCTAGTGTCAGCTGAAACTCCACTCTGGGTTGTATTTGGACTTTTTTGTGCTCAGTGATCTTAGCTGTTTCTTATTGTACATTTGTTATTTTATTGTGTGTATTCTTATTTTAATCCTTTTATTGTAAAAGGCAGCCTAAGCTGCTGAGTCTCGTGGAGTGGGATATAAGCCTAATAGCTAAATAAAAGGTAACTGACCGTTGCTTCATATTTTATAGGCCTGTCCAATCCCAGCAGACTTGAAGTACTGCTTAATTTGCCTCTGCCGGGTGCCAGCTTAGAAACCGCTGGTTGGAAGCAAGGGGGTGTTATTTCCTAGCCTTGTGTAGGGCTGAGAGGAGAAAGCAGAATTGTTGTATGGGGAAATGCTTTCTGGGTACAAGGATTTCCGTCCTACTTGATTTTATTATTAGATCTTGTGTACTATTAACCATTGCCCCATGTCTGGCAATTGCTCCTTTATACCTGAAGCTGTTAAGGAGAAGTACAAATAATTCTACGTAATTTGTTTGAGAAAGATGTGCATTGTAAGAAAGGAAACAAGATTGTTTAGCTGGCTTGTGAAAAGTCTGAGCAAAGTGCTGAGCCTCTCAAAATGTGGGAGGAATGTGGGCTTTGTGGGTGTTGGGGCAGTCTTGTCGGGTAGCGGAGGAAGGAAGAGCGACTGATATGCTGAGGGAAACCTCTTGAGTTCTTGTGAATAATTGGTTTGTATCTCTCTGTCTTCATGCTGGGCAAGCAAAGGAGCACTCCTCCTTCTGAAGCTTGTGGAGGTCACTCCAGATGCCTTTCCTGTCATCTGTGGTCATCCTTGGAGGACAGGTGTAGCAGGGGAGAACTGAGGAGGGTCGATTGTTGTTTCTGTCTTCAAAAAGGGTGGGCAGGGGGAAGAATTGGGTAAGTGCAAGACCGGTCAGGTTGACATCAATGTTGAGCAAAACTTTAAATGTAGACTTAAATATTTAGTTTGTGTGCAGTTATGAAATAATGCATTGTGTGCTAGAAGCGGATGGGACTACTCGTGAGTCACTTACCCAGCCGGCTCTTACCTATC